TCAATTTGAACGTATTGTCTCCTGCCACATAGATAATTAGCCAGCCATTCGAGACATGCTTTGAAAAACCGAGGTGATACAACTTGGTTATCACCGTTTTAAAACAAACGGTATCAAATGATTTCGAAAAGTCTGTTAGTACCATAAGAGTTGCCTCTTTCCTTTTCATGGCACTCAATAGGTCGTCCCTTATACCTAAGAGTACCGTACACAACGATGCGCACGACGACGAAATTTCAAAGGCATCCACATTAATTCTTTCATTGCCTCTTTAAAGGAGGGCTTCTTGCCATAGACTTTTTTAGCAAACTTATTTTGGAAGGCCCTTAGCTGTTCCATTTCTGATTTTAACCCTGGCTGATCGCCCCATATTATATCCGTATAGTCTAAGTGAGGTAGCACTAAACCATTGTAGTACGCAAGGCGAGTCTTTTCGTCAAGCATATGGTAAATGCGATTGAAAACACAGATACGATGACCTAACTTCTTGATCAAATTTCGAATATGAGGCCACCAATTCCGTTTTTCGTCAATTGTCACTCCAAGGTATTTAAATAATGTTATCGTAATAAACCCGTGAAAGTGATAAATCAGATACAATGAAATATATGAAGTTCATATATTTTGAACTGCGGTATTAGATACGTATGATGCACGATCCTCGCAGTAGATAGCGCTATTTAAGCAATAGCGAAAATCAGACCTGAAAAAAATCAGGCCTGTACGGGATTCGAACCACTGACCTCTGCGATACTAGTGCAGCGCTCTACCAATTGAGCTAACAAGCCAACTGGGAGCAGGCCGTTAAGTTGATTCGTAATAAACCCGTGAAAGTGATAAATCAGATACAATGAAATATATGAAGTTCATATATTTTGAACTGCGGTATTAGATACGTATGATGCACGATCCTCGCAGTAGATAGCGCTATTTAAGCAATAGCGAAAATCAGACCTGAAAAAAATCAGGCCTGTACGGGATTCGAACCACTGACCTCTGCGATACTAGTGCAGCGCTCTACCAATTGAGCTAACAAGCCAACTGGGAGCAGGCCGTTAAGTTGATTCGTAATAAACCCGTGAAAGTGATAAATCAGATACAATGAAATATATGAAGTTCATATATTTTGAACTGCGGTATTAGATACGTATGATGCACGATCCTCGCAGTAGATAGCGCTATTTAAGCAATAGCGAAAATCAGACCTGAAAAAAATCAGGCCTGTACGGGATTCGAACCACTGACCTCTGCGATACTAGTGCAGCGCTCTACCAATTGAGCTAACAAGCCAACTGGGAGCAGGCCGTTAAGTTGATTCGTAATAAACCCGTGAAAGTGATAAATCAGATACAATGAAATATATGAAGTTCATATATTTTGAACTGCGGTATTAGATACGTATGATGCACGATCCTCGCAGTAGATAGCGCTATTTAAGCAATAGCGAAAATCAGACCTGAAAAAAATCAGGCCTGTACGGGATTCGAACCAATGACCTCTGCGATACTAGAGCAGCGCTCTTACCAATTGAGCTAACAAGCCAACTGGGAACAGGCCGTTAAGTTGATTCGTAATAAACCCGTGAAAGTGATAAATCAGATACAATGAAATATATGAAGTTCATATATTTTGAACTGCGGTATCATCTTCAAATAAGTTTCTTTCGATTGTCTGTAAACTGCTGATGCAGTCTGGATAAAGTCCCCCGAACAGTGTTGTGATGCGCATTTGATCATATCGACATGTTAATTTGCGCAATATAAATATTAAGTTATTATTATTATTATTATTATTGTTAGTCAAAATGAAGGAATACGATCTGAACTGTGTTTCTATCGTTTCTGTTCGTTACCAGAGGCCGTAGATTTCGCGCAAGATCAGCTGTTGTTTACCTGTGTTTCGACACTTCCGGAACACTCCGTAGGAAGCAAGAGCGGGAGAAAGCCAAGATGTTCATCGAGCGGTTCACAGCGGGATCGCTTTCCGATCGGGGAACGGGCCAGAAAAAAATGCTACTCTTAGAGATGAATATTTGTTGAAGTCCAAAGAGGTTCCTGGCCTACAGAAACAAATTCAGCGACTAAAAAACCAAGTAGGTCTTAGCATTATCTGTGGTGAAAGCGATGTTCTAAGGTAGTCTTGTGATTTTTCGTGCAATGGTTTATAGAGCTTATAAAATTTGCCATGATTAGCTAAACATATATAACTAAGCATTTTCATCTACTTTCAGCTAACTAAATTAAACAGCTTTAGTGAACTCCTCCCAAATTGTGCAATTACCAGATATCTAAAGGCTATGGAAAATGATGTCAAAGCAGGGAGAATGAGAAAACAATTGGGCGTGGCTTCTTGAAGACAGGGGTAAAGACAAGGATATTACATATCACTTGACTGCAGGTAAAGATTCACGGTCAATCTTACATGGGTTCCTGTATTTAGTCAAAGCAATTCAGGGTGACTCAACAGACCAAATGCTTCTACTGAAACTTGTGCAAATTGT